GTTGATGTGATTTAGGTCAGCTTGAGATTGCAGTCCAGCCCTGCCTGGAGGTGAATAGCTTTTGGGAAAGCAAAACTAGCCGAAATTCAATGAAAATGTATGGTCTACTCATAACATTTTGAAAAAAATCAGCTACCAATTATCTTATTATCTAAAACAAAATATGGTGAATACATCTCCGATATTTGAACTGGCGCTAACCTCAAAAACCTACTAATAAATAAGAAAAAAATCTATTTTATTTAGGTAGCATAAGGAGGCTGTGATACATTTGGCCGCAACCAAACGACGAGTACAACATCGGTAGAGTTTTTACAAAAGAATTATCTTCAATCTCAAAATCGGCTCAAAAATCCCACTAGAACGCTGTGTGTGTGTGTGTGTGTGTTTCTGTCCTCCCTGACGGCGTTACTCTTGTCCACTCTGCCCTTCAGGGATCTACCTCACTTTCTCGATGTGCATCACGTCGATCTCGGTGATTGTGACCGTCTGGAACCTGAACTTGCACCACTGCCTGCCCACAGCGCGACGGTTGCCGGTGCGCCTACGATCGCGCATCTTCGGCTTCATCTTTCGCTGGGTCGGATTCGCATTCACTCTCACTCCCTTTCCTCTCTTGAACTCACAGCATCCTTCAGCGCCGGTACCATCTTCCCCTGACGGCTTAACCAGCGCTGTACCCGGTCGGCATGGCAACAAGGGGAGTGTCTGTCGCCGAGCAAAAGCGAGTCGAATTCGCCGCCTCACAGACGCTCCTCGCAGACACACCAACATTGCAATTAGGCGTGTCGGTGACTGTCTCATCTCTACCAGTTGCCATGTCGCTTGTTGTCGTGGCCAGATGGACCCGTCGCCTCGAGACGCCTCAGCCTCGAGTCGATGGAAAGAGGCGAATGGGCGACTAGGACAAGCTGCACAATTTGGCAGCATCAACAGTCGCCGAGGTGGACGGTTGCCCATTGAGACTGGCCTCGAAGATGCCCAACAGATCCGAGGCCTCGGCGCCTCGGTACCGTCGCCGGTCGCATCGGACGTGTTCGTCTCGTCGGCTCAGCCCCGTTGTCCGAGCCGGCGCAGTCACCTTCGCGACGCCGAACACACGCCGGCCTCGAACAATTCGAGTCAACTGTTCCAGCTGCTCGCCGAGGGCTCCAGGCAACTGCGCTGCCTCCAAGTGGAGGATCCTGAGTCTCCGCTAACGGGGCTGCGTAAGTCCGTGTCATCATTTGTGTGGCTGTCTTTGTCTCTTGTTGTTGCGGGTCGTTTGCACGACTCTGAGTCTTGCTGAGCCTACTTCAAGTTAGAGTGAAAGTGCTTGATGAAGATGTTCCAAGGTGGATCCGACCAGGAGACTACGACAGATTACTCTTAACCAGTTGTCGATTGGCTTTGCTGCCACACTCTTGTTGACGCTGTTTCCGAGGCATTCTCTTTGAAAATG